GCCCCTGCCCATCAGACCGCAGGCTCCCTGCCAGGGCAGCGGGTGGTCGTCACGGTTGGGCTGATGGATTATTTGTTGCGTTGACATGGCCGCCGCCTAGGAGCCGGGATGCTGAACAGTCACCCCATGCAACCCAACGGAGAGATGAACGGGGGCCACTCGTCGCAGTCCATGGTCTCCGGATCACACTGCACCCCCCCTCCGCCCTACAACCCCGACCCCAGCCTCGTCAGGTAGGGAAGGCGGCCGGTGCCCTGTCTGTCTTGTCCTCTGATGTTTCTTGCTGTTGTCCCTCACTCTAACCTCCAGATCTGTCTAGCAACCGGTCAACTGGCCACTGGTCCCAACTGAGAAATCACTGCTCACAAAATCACATAGACCATCTCAGAAACCAAAGCCCAGCTACCTGCCAGTTAGAAACAGCTACTGCCCTCATATACCTCTATCTGGGTCATCCATCCCTGCTTAATTAAAAACTAAATGCACCCGAACGAGAGCGTTTTCCTGCATGTCCAACCAGCACGTAGTTTTGTGAACTTCCCCCTTCCCCTTCCTCACCAGCAATGTCTGGAAACGGCTCCACGGGGCTCGTTTCTGTCGGGAACGCCCTGACAGCTCTGCAGCCACGTGTCAGTCCTTACAAAGAGCACAGACATCTCGACAGACGCCCTGACGAGGTCAGGGAGGCTTTAAGTGCCGTGTAACGAGGGGCACATAGCTGCAGCCCAGCGCGATGTGCAAAGCACCCCTGCCCCACCGCTCTGCGCGCCGCAGAGCCCGGCCTGGCTGCCCAGCCCGAGCAAAGCCCCGCTCTCCCTCCCCGGTAGCTCGAGCTGCCTCAAGTTACTCCGAGTAAGTCACTGAGCTGAAACCTCTGATGATCAGGAGGCAAAAAAATACACAGTTTTAGGAATGAACGTCATCCCATGCTTCACTTTGATGTTGGTGGCAACGGAGGTCACGCTTGGGCTGGCAGCAGCCGCAGGCGAAAGCTGGCCCCAGCAGTGGGAGTACTCGAGCGAGCCCCCACCCGCAGCCCTGCCGAGCTGCCGGGGCTCACCGCGGCCCCCCCGCCTTTTCGGTGACCTGAAACACGGTTTGCCCCTACAGCGATGGTTGCGAGCGCAGCTCGGATTCGTGGGAAGTTAATGCCACTTTATTTTCCAAATTTTTTTCTGCAGTTTTTTAACAGGATTGGGGTGTCCAAACTGCATCGACTATTTCACCTCACAAGGGTTACAGAATATTTACCACCTGCAGAACCTATCCATAGAGGTAAATGCTTTGGGAAGATCTGTTCTTACCACTTGTCTCTATCAGCTGTCGATCTGAAAAGCAAGGACAGAAGCGTTTTAAAGGAAAGGGAAAACTGCACCAGCCCCTCACGCACAGTACGTGCTCCCCAGGGTTTACACCTTCCATTTCTGCACCCTTTCTGGTCCTTCGGGTTGAGCAGTAGCTCAGTCACTGCTAGCAACCACGATAGCCTCAATCGGTTCTTCCAGACTGTCAGAAACAAAAGAGCTAAAAGATCCCCAGACCAGACCTCGGGTAGATTTTCCACTGAACACAGCAACACCAGCTGAGGTGCCCAGCAAAACAACCCAGAGCCTCCCCCGCCAGTGGGAACACCTCCGCTGTGCTTCAGAGCTTTACATCTGATCTGACCTTACGTCTTCCCCTGTTAATCTTTGAGGCAAACGAGGCTGAAATAAGGGAGTCGAGCCCGGGGCATTTGTATTAAGGAAACCCTGGAACAAAATAGCCCGGGTCAGGCAAAAGCTGGCATGAAAAACGGTCGAGGGGACGCTGGAAGTACCTGAGCTTGCCCGGAGCATCAGCCCTCTGCTGCTGCCGCTCTCGGCTCCAGCGCAGCCTCTTGGTGACGATAACGAGGGCAGCGCCAAGGCAGGGACTTCTCCAGCCCATCAGGGTAACGAGAAGGGACAAAACCCCCTTCATCTCAAACCCTTTGAGTCACAGGAAGCCCTGTAAACCCCAGAGTTGGTGTTTTGGCTGAGACAAAGCTCCTGCCCCATCCCGTTTCGCCCCCAGGCAGTTCGTAGTAGCTGTCGCCTCCCTGGCAGCTACCACAAACCGCGCTTCGGTGATGGCTGTTGGAGACCCGATGATTTTTCAGTGGTAGCCGGGGCCAGTTGCGTAACCTTAGCCTGGTTTCGGACCGTTCTCTGCACTAACCCCGTGACTGCCTGTCAGCTGTCAAAGAAACGCTGGGTACGGCCACGACTTGCACCAGATCGCCGAGCCGCGCGTCCGAGTCGGCATTTGTAATTACTAATCGCGCACTCGCTGTCTGCTCTGGTTAACACTCTGTGTCTGGCGTTAACGTGGACCTCCGGCAGCTCCCCGCTACGACGGTGCTGGTTCTGGGGCGGGCCCCCCAGTGCCCAGGTTACCGACCTCACGTGGCTTTGCCAGCTCAGCCCGTGGCGTCGCCACAGCCATCGCCCGCACCGGGGCGTCACACCAGCCCC